CCTGGAGACAAGTGGGCCAGCCTCTAACTACCGGATAAAGCAACTTGGAGAGATAAGCAATGGGTTTTCGCACCCCACACAATTCTTGTACAATAACTCCATAAGCTATTCCTTCTTCTACATTGACGAATAGTTCAAACAGTCTATTTAAATCTGGCAAACTTAGCACTGGAGCATTTGCCAATTTTTCTTTTAGGTCTTCTAACTTTTTCTCATCATTTTCATCCCAACTTATGGGCTCATTTTCAACTAATTTATCATATAGAAACTTAACTAATTTTGTGTGTCCATCTATCCATAATTTACAATACCCAATTAATCCTAGTAATTTTCTCACATCTGTTTTTGGTTTTGGTGCTGGCAATGATAGTGTTCCCTGAATTCGGTCGGCATCTAATCTCTTATATCCTTTCCCAATTATATGGCCTAGATACTTTACTTCTGGTTCTACAAATTGTAACTTTCTTTTAGATACTTTTAACCCCTTTCCCCCTAGGAAGTTCAGTAAATTAACAGTTGTTGTTTGTACCTCTTCTTTCTGTTCCCCAGAAATTAATAGATCATCTACATACTGTAGGATTTGAGATCCTTCTTCAGGTATAAACTGTTTCATTAGTTCTTCTAGAGTTTGGCCAAATAGGTTTGGTGACTCTGTGAATCCCTGAGGCAACCGTGTCCATTGTAATTGTTGTTTTCTCCCGGTTTCCTCATCTTCCCATTCAAACGCAAACCATTTTCTACTTTCTTTCTCAAGTGGACAGGACCAAAAAGCATCTTTTAAATCTATAACACTAAACCATGCATGTCTTGATGGTACTTTGCTCAATAAATTATAGGGGTTGGCTACTACTGGATATCGAGTAACAGTTTGCTTATTTACTTCTCGTAAATCTTGGACTAATCGATATGTACCATCGGGTTTCTTTATGGGTAATATTGGGGTGTTATGTGGAGACATGCATGGTTCTAAAATTCCTTCTTTAATTAAGTCTTTAATCACAGGTGTTAATCCCCATTTCCCTTCTACAGAAATTGGATATTGTTTAACTCTTATTGGGGGAATGTCAGGTTTCATTTTGATTTCTATGGGTGGAATTTCCAACAGTCCATGACCCCCTCCTTCTGCCCACACTCTCGGATCTATCTCTCTCTCATCTTCTTCTTTTAAAACCATCATTTTCACTACCATACGTTTACCTTCAGGGACTACCCCTATTCTTAACTGCAATTGTAAATCCCGGCCTAAGAGGTTAGAGTCTAATTCAGGCATATACAGCAGGTCAGCACAGCCTTCCCTGAAACTTCCTTTTATAGGTACTTCTTCAATCATGGGTACTTCAAAAGGGTTATTCTCAGCACCTTTAACTTTACAGGTTTGGTTACTTAATTTGCATCCCTTGGGAATCTTTGAAATACTTGAACGATCTGCTCCAGTATCCACTAAAAATTCCATTTCCTCGCTCTGAGGGCCTACTTCTAGGTTTACCAGGGGCTCCTTTTGATGTCCAATATCATCCCTCAGAGCGTAGAGCCCCTGACACCCCCAGTCCTCTCCTTCCAGCCTTCTCCCTAAGGTGTCTTGTTCCTGAGAAATAGCCTCATCCATCTTTCTTTTTCTACAGAAATTTCTGGTATGTCCTTTCTTACCACAATAAAAGCACATGACTTCTGCCCAAGGTGGTCTTTTTTCGGGCAAAGGGGACTTATTATCTCTGTCTGGCTCATACCTTCTACTTGGCTGATCTTTAAACCCACTTATTCTTGGACCTGTGTACTTGCTTTTTCCATCATCTGGTGACTCTCTATTCCCAAATCTAGCACTCTCTCTAGCCACTGCTACCATAATTTTTGCTTTTGTTTTGTTCTTCTCCTCATCCCTCCTTAGATATACTTTTTGCGCCTCTCTTAATAACTCGTTCATTCCTCTTTCATGCCAATCATCTAACTTGTCCAATTTCCTTCGTATATCCACTCAGGCCTTAGTTACAAATTGAATTTTAACTAAAGCTTGTCCTTCTGGACTATCTGGATCCACACTTGAGTACAACTGAAAGTTTCGTTTTAATCTTTCTAACCAGGCGCTTGGTGATTCATCTCGCTCCTGGTGACTATCAAATGCCAATCTTGCATTATTTGTTCTTGGGACTGCCTCTCTTATCCCTCTTACAATTAGTGTCCTATATTGTCTCATGCTCGCTCTTCCCTCTTCCTGGTTTGGATCCCAATTAGGTGGGTTAACAGGCATTTTATCTTCTCCTCTAGGACCTCCTCTATTTTCTCTTTCCCAAATCCTCGTACCTGCAGTACGAATCATTTGTATTTCTTCGGAAGAGAACAGTATATCTAGGATAGAATTTAATTCCTCCCACGTAAAGATGTTAGGCCCTAAAAATTGGTCTAATTGTTGGGAGATGCCTATTGGGTCTTCTAATAAAGTCTTAATTTCTTTCTTAAAATTTCTAACTTCAGAGGCGGTTAATGGGGCATTCACAAAACCAATACCACCTCTGCCCCCCCCCCCCCATAGGCACTTCTGTCAGAGGAAACAACTTTTCAGTTCTCCCACATTCACCTTGAATTTTCTTTGCTTGGAATCTTGTATTATACTGATGGCTTGCTACAAGCTCATCTGGTTCAATTAATTTCTTTTCCTCTATATCTTTACAACAACAGGCCTTTTTCACTCCCTGACCTTTTGTTTGCAAACTTTCCTCCTGCTTGTGACTCTCAGTATGTTGGGGTACAGGGGATAAATAAAAAGGAATGTTTTGTGATGTTCCAGCAATAAGAATAGGGGAAGAGGTACTTTGGGTTATGGGCTGAAATATGGGGGAAAAATAAAAAGGAGTATTTTGGAAAGTTTTGGGAGCCAAGATTGGGGTATGGACACTCTGAGTGGTACTAGAGACCAGTGTCTGGGTACTTGAGGAACTGGAGGGAATCTGCAAAACTGAAGGAGTACTAGAATGGGCAGGTTCTGGTATATTTGGGAAAGGAGATGATACAGAAGAGGGGATGCTGGGAGCAGGACAACTTGAATTAGAAGGTTGAGGTGATTTTAAAACTCCTGTGCGAGTAGATACTGAAATTGCATCCACTCGTGAGATGGTACTGAGGGGTACAAGGTTGGAGGGGGAGGAGGAAGGTGGTCTATAGGAGCAGTTGGTTGAGGAGGTAACGGGAGGTCATCTAAGGGATCAGAAGGGGGAGGTGGAGGAAGATGGTCTAAAGGATCCCACCTCCGTTCTGGTAGCTTAGTTTCTTCTTTTTCTTTTTCTCTGGATATTTTATATAATTTTATTTCCTCTTCCTGTTTGTCCCTTTCTAACCAACATTTAGCATATCTAATCTCTTCATCACAAGGTTCTATTCTGGTATTGACATATCTAATTAATGCTATACATAGCCATCTTTCTTTTGTCCCGTACCAGGGCCAATAAATAGGTCCTTCAGCAATACTCTCTTTAGGCCATATTTCTGTACAGTATCTTATCATTTTTCTCTTATCTAGATCCTTCATTCCCTCATTAGTATCCCAATTTATTAAAAGTTCACCTAAAGGACTACTAGGAGGTATTTTCTTAAAAACATCCTTCCCTTTTCTCTTCCTGCTGGCACTTTTCCCAGCACACTGTCCCATCTTTAACTAGCAATTGGTATCCAAATATAATTTTTTTTTTTTTCAATAAGGGATTTGTATTAGTTACAAATGAGGAAGAGAAAATAAATATTAATTATTGTGAAAAATGTAATAATAATGGTTACTTAAAAAAAAGTTCCTTATCATAAGAGACAAGACACTTTAAAGAAATATTTGATGCGGGAAATGAAATAAATATGGTGGCTTTGGTGGGAAACAAAACAAAAAGGTGGCCCAAAGAAATATTTAGTGTGGGAAACAAAATAAATATGGTTTAACAAGGATTTCAGAATAATAATGTTAATTCAAATGAACACTTATAACCTAAGAAGAAATATAATATCTATCATTTTAGTGGGAAAACTAAACAATAGTGATGGCTATTTCAAGAAATTAAACAACTTACAACCACCTGCTCAACTAAATATAAAATAGATGCAGCAAGCTACTTACTCTACACAAATGGCCTCTGCACACCACACTCAACCACGTACAAATTGGCTTCAATGAGCCGCTTACTCAAAACTCAAAATGCCACTTCACACCACACACAAAAACCAAAATGGCCACTTCTCGGCCCACTGTATAGAAAACTCAAAATGGCTGCTTCTTGGCCCGCCTCACAACAAACTCAAAATGGCCGCTTCTCGGCCTGCCTCACAACAAACTCAAAATGGCCGCTTCTCGGCCCACCTCACAGCAAACTCAAAAATTCCTAAGGAATGGTCGAAGGACTTTTGGCCTGCCCTCACCTCCGAACCTCATTCCTTAGGGGCCCCGACTCTTAAAATACAAACAAAAAAAAAAGAAAAAAATTCTCCCTAACATGAGCCGGTTCTAACCTCCCCCTCAGCCCTAGTGACTGAAAGGGCCCTTCCACAGCCGGTGGCCCACCTCTCCCCTGTGGGTCACCGTCCCTGTGAAGTATTTTTCAGCCACCCCTACGACCCCCTTTAGCTGGGATCCTAGCTCAGGGTGAGCCTACTTCCCCTCTATGACCCCCTTTCCACTGGGGTCCTAGTTTGAGGGGACCCTACTCCCCTTGGGTTGGGCACCCTCCCCTTCCCCGGCCTCAGAAAAGGGGCACTCCCCTACACGGTGGCCACTTTATTCAGTGGTGTCTGTATAGGAGTATTTTCTCCCACACCCAAGGTCCTAGTTCCTCAGAGAGTAGACTCCCCCGGTCTATCCCTGAGGAACAGCCCTCCAGGTGGTTTGAGCTAGTGGTCGGAGCTCTACCCCTCACTGGGCAAGTCCGCCCCACTAACCCCCCTCGGGTACCCCTATGACCCCCCAATGGGATCCTAGTTCAGGGTACCGAGTGTGTCCCCCTCTATGACCCTCCCCAATGGGATCCTAGTTCGAGGGGTACAACTCGGGCCAATGGCTCAAACCACCCCTAGGAGCCTCCAATCACTGGAGGAACGGGAGCCTGAGCGGGTAAGGGCGGCTATAGGTGGGTACTCCCCGTCTCCCCTACTCCTGGGGGTCCATAGGGGTACACACACTCCACAACAACACTCGCTTCCCTCCGTTACTGGGAGGACGGCACTCATTTCGGGGGTCTGTACTCACAGCCCCCGTCTCATTCACTCACACGCACTTCGCACCCCCTATTGCCTTCAACCCCACTCACGTTGCTCTGAGGCAACGTAGGCCCCACTCCCTCTCGGAGGGCTCTCACCTTTTGGGTCGCTGTATTCCTTGCAGCCTCAGGTATAGGCGAGGAAACGCTTCTGCAGTCCGACGTAGTCCAGTCTCTGGCAGCCAAAAAGGTGGCTAGACGCGTCTCCCAGGTCCTGGGGTACCCCGGACTGTTTCGGGGCATGGCCTACCCCGGAACGAGCCCCCAAAAAAGATGTTATGGATATGAACGAGGCCAAAATTTCTCCAGAGAAAGAGGTTCTCGTTTATTAAAATAGCTACAAGGAACGGAGTGCCCAGGATAAGCCCAGGCACCCACACAGCGAGCCAAAAACGAAAACAGTGCGCTCACCCCAAGTGCACTGGGTTCTCCCAAACAACAGGTGCCCCAAAATAAGAAGAACCCCGACCCAAATGAACTCCCCACGTTTATAGGCCCCCCCGGGTCCAGGATTGGTGCATTTTGGATCCTCATGATGATTGGTCCATTTCCAGGCTTCTCATTGGTCTTTACCGCCATTCATTCTGGACCAATTGTTTCTGCAGGGCTTCAAATGATTGGTCAGATGTTTCATCCAATCTCTCTTCGACCTTGCCTTACCCCATCAGACTCCGGTTTCACCAAACCCTGGACCCTTCTAGCACATTCTAATAAGCCTCTCCCATTTAACATAATACAAATAATAGAACATAATAATTACAATATAATTGAACTCTATCCTATTTTAAATTAACTTAACTTTCACCTATAACATGGTATACACACGTGATCAGGGTACAAGAAGAAAAGGGTTTGTTTTTTTCATTCTGCATGTTCTCCAGCTTATACACTCTTAACAAAGCGTGATCTCAAGTCACTAACTACATCACAATAGCTTTTTCTATCCAGTGGTGCAAAGCAATTAGCGTCAATATAACTGGCAAAAGTTTTACAGAAATTTATGAGGCACGTATGCACATCTACTTAGGCACCTAGTCTAGCATACGCAAGTTTTCCATTATCTCTTCTAATTGGGTTTCCATGCTGACAGCCTTGTCTTCTTCCTTGCTATGGATACACTCAAAAACCATCAACTGCTATTTCTTCCATGAACTCGGCTGTGCTTGCAGGCCAGCTGCCAAGCCCCTCCATAGGTCAGCATGCGCCCGCATGTTCAATGAGCAACTGCAGCCTACAATAGTCCTGGAAATTTATTGTCTTTGCTTTGTTTGCCATCTAAATGTCACTGAAGAAGTTAGTGACATTTTCCAAACCAGCTAGGATGCCACCTAGAAGAAGCAGACTTGCTTTCAGTCAAAGCTTTGGGGACCAAAAGTCATGTTTGCTTGCATTGCTTGAATGCCGCTTGGATTGGCGCATTTTCTGAGTTCCCCTGGGATGCCTTGAGCACTGCCTTTGTGAGTGAGGAGAATTTCCCAGGCTTTTCTTTTGCATTAGCTGTACAGAAGGTTGTCTTGCTGGGCACAAGAAAGCCCCAGAGCAGCTGCCTTTGTGAGGTCAAGCCAGAGGTGCCACGTCACAGTGCTGTCAGCACAGCGTTGTCCCGGTGCGCGCCAGGCCTGGTCGTCCAGAGCAGCTCTTCCGCTGGCTCCCTGCAGGAGGATCCTTGTGCTCAAGGAGCTCTCAGCAGACGGCCTGCACCCCGAGAGGAGTCTTGGCTTTCCCTTGGGTGGCACTCAGCGTGCAAACGCGCACAGCGCTGCCAAAATGATCGGGCAAGTCTGTGCCGCCGTTTGCACCGTCTTTTCTGTTGTCTATTCTGGCTACTACCTGACCCAGCTGACTCGTAAGTAAAGGTTTCTCCTGGGGCTGGCATCACCCGACTTTTGCTTGGCTCTGCTCTTTATGCCGCACCAGTGGCCCAGTTTCTGTGGGAACAAAATGGCCCTGAAGGTGCCACCGCTTTGGTCAATGTCCTGCCAGCAGCATCAGCTCCAAAGGGGGCATCTGTACTGGGTGGCGCGTGCAGAGTATTTGCCATGCAACCTGCAGCGGTTGCCTTCCTTCCCCGGGAGAGTGCGTGGCAGCGGAGTCCGTCATTTCCTCGGCTTGCTGCTTCAAGCAAGACAAGCTGCAAATTGCAGACCCTGAGGGGAGATCCTCAGAAGTACTTCTACCAACTCAGTGGTTCTCTCCAGTGAGAGTGAAGGAAAGCACCTTTTGCTCCATATTCTGCCCCTTAGAGGCCTTGGCTGCATGACTTGAGCCTTTGATGCTGTGCCAAGACTGCGATTGCCTTGGCGATGCAGCAGAAACTGCAGTGCAGGGAGGGTTTGCTACTGAGCCCAGCAGCTGTTCCTGGGCTGCTTCAGCAGGGAGCTGCCACAGGGAAGGGACCCTTTGTGGAAGCTTTGCTGGGCTATCATCTTCAGCCAAGGGATGGGAATTAGGGCATGCCATTTAAAAGAATGTATAAGGAAAATGCAGGAAAGAGAAGAGGGAAATGCAGCTTGAGCTGTTGGGCACAAGAGGAGCTCAAAGTTTTGAAGAGCAGCGGGCATTTCCAGCACCGTCTTCCTATTTCTCTCCTTGCAAAAGAGGCCCAAATGCAGACAGAGCCTCCTCTAGCGTCCTTGTTGTTCTCTTGCTTGCTGTGGGAAAGAGCTGTTGCTCCTGGAGGCATGTTGGGAAAGGGAAATGCTCTGTGTTGGGGCTGCCTTGTGCTGTGGGAGTGGCCAGCACAGGCACTTTTCTAAGGGCCTCTGGTTCCTTTTGCCTTGCTGGCTGCAGGTCACCTGACACGCGGATGGAGACATGCCTGTCCTTTGGTGAGTGGCAAAGGAAGCTGTGCCGTTGCTGGCGTGTGAGAATGGTGCAGCAATTCTGCCAGCTTGGCCTGTTGCAGCCCAGTGTGGAGTGCCGGCGTGGGAGGCTGAAGGAAAGGCCAGCTGCCCGCTGGCATCAGCAGTAGCAAAGGGAGCACTGGCTGTTTGCTGATTTTCCAGTGAAGAGCCTTTCAAGAGATGAAAGGCAAATGGGACAGCTCCGAGGCATCTTGCTGCTTCTAGGCAGCAGGGAAGCTCAAATGCACAGCAAGATGGAGTAGCAGCTCATTCAGCCAACTTCCTCGGGTTTGCGTGACTCAGAGGCCCACTTGTATCCAAGTCTATGATTTGCCCTTCTTCTGGGTCCTTTCCCAGCTCAATAGAAAGCAGCTCCTAAGGCACTGACTTTTGCCCATCTCTCTCACTTCTGTCTGCCTGCAGGGCACAACAGCAGGGTCAGCAGCTCCTCTGGCTGCCTCTGTCATTGAGGAAGAGGCTGAAGAGGAGCAAAGGAAGATGAAGCCTTCAGCCACTGTCCCTTCACAGCCTGAACTTGCAGAGCCAGTAAGTGACAGCTGAGCTTGGCACTGCCTTTGGTGCAGGGCCAGGCTTCCCCGTTTTGGAGCAGCCCTTGTTGCTCGTGGCGGAAGATGCTGGCGGCCGTGTGCCTGCTGAGGCGTAGTGCGGCTTCAGGCAAGCCGCGGAGCCCTGGCCAATGGGTTCTGAAGTTTGACATTTAAGCTGGGATGCTGAGAGGGTGCCAGAGTGTCTCTTGGGATCAGACAGGAGGCAGCATTCAGTGACTCTCAGTGTAGGAGTCAGCCCCTTGTGCCCGTGGTCAGTGCAGGCTGCCACTGGTCAGCGGACAGCGCGGCCCAAATTCGCAGTTGACAGCCTTGCAGGGTACCTGGGAGACACTGGGCCCTGGAAGGGACCTGCCCTCTCCGTGGACTAATTAGCTTCAGGCTGTGCTTCCCTTCCAGCCGGTCAGAGCAGAGTTTGGAGAGGAGAATCCTCGGCAGGCCTGCACTGTAAAAGGGCCGGTGGGTCTGGGCAGGGCTGGAAGGCGGCTCCCAAGGGCCGCTCCCTAAAGGCTGCCATAGAGAAGGGAAATCCGTGAAACAGATCAGAGAAGGGACACGCTGCGGGCTTCTGAGCAGACTGTTGCGTGCCAACTCCGGGCTGATTTCATTGCCCAGGAAAAGACAGGAGGAGGAAAGCAGCAAGGCTCTGGGGCCTTGCTCTGATCTCTTTGTGGATCTTGGCAGCCCCATCGATACCTTGTTGCCAATGTCTTGCAGAACAGCTGAAGACGTGGAGCATGGAGGTGGTCGGGAGGGGCTGGATGCCAGTAGCCTTTGGGCTTCTCCCGAAGGTGCCTTTGAGAAGGGGACATGGGAACTGCCCCAGCTGGAGAGGCCTGGCCGTGGCTGGCAGCACCTTCCCAAGGCCTTGCTTTTGCCGTGCGCTTAGGGGGGGCATGTGTGCCAGCCACCCTTCTGACGGGCAATCCTTTCTTGTCCCAGCGCAAGACAGGCTCTGCCATTCAGCCTGGTGCCGCCGGAGCAGCGTGGCCTGCAGCAGCCAGCTCAACCCCCGCTGCCGGCACTTCCTGCAGCAGCGCAGCCCAGCAGCCCGAGATGAGGGAGGGCCTGAAGAGACTGAGTACGTCCGGTGCATTTCTTGTCTGCCAGAGCAGGGTGTTGTGCGCGTGTCTGGGTGTAGGCTGCGCCAGATGCTGCCCCTCGGTCTCAGAGGCACTTAGGCCTCTCTGCAGAAGGTGTTGTTGTGCTCTGAGGCAGCGCGGCAGCGCTCAGGGAGTCCCTGCTGCCTGTGAGGGCGGCTGGGCCTGCCTTGGCCCTGCCTGGGCTGCCTTGTGGGCCAAAGACAAAAGCAGAGATTGTTTCTGCTTGAGCAGAAGGCTGGCACCTAGCAAGTGACTATTGCCCAGGCAGCTGTCTGGCGCCAGCTGTTTTCTGGCTCTGGTTCTTACTCCTCCTCCGGCCCAGACACTTTGTGCCCCTGGCAGTGGACCTGCCAGTGATGGTGGGTGTGAGTGAGGAGGCTGCAAAGGCCCTTGGTTACCTCTTAGGGCCCCCTTCTTAAGGGCTCATCATTTTGGCTTATCGCGTGGGATGCTGCTCTTGAAAGAAATCAAGGCCTTCTTGGAAAGGCCACCTGATGAAAGGTGGAGAAGATGGCCCTCCCACTTGCTGGTCTCAGCAGCTGGAAGCCGAGGGACCGCAAAGGGCCCAGAGCTGCGGGCAGTGGGGCTGCCTTTGGGACGCTCTGGGCAGCGGCGTCTCTGTGGGCCAGTGAGCGCCCTGCACTGCTTTTGTCTTTCAGGGAGCATCGTGAGTCCGGGCCGGCCAACAGGCAAATACACGGCATTTGAGGAACTCGGGCGAGGGTAAGCGTGACGTCAGCTCATTTTACAAAAGTGTGGGCCAGGTCTTTGGCTGGTGCAATATCAAGCGTGAAGTCAGGCAAGCCCCAATCATGGTCAGGCTCTGGCTTGACCTCGTGTGGCCTGCCTGGACTGCTCGGTCAGAGCAATCCAAAGGCCTCATCAAAGACAAGTTGATGCTGGCAGTGTCTTGCTTGCAGCAGTGAGGAGCAGGAGCTGGGAAAACCCCTGCCCCTGCAGCTTTCGGGCCTGAAAGAGCACCTTGCCATCCAAGAAAGGTCAGATTGTCAAGGACGGTCTTCTGACTCAAATTGTTCTCCCTTTTTTGACACACACATGCATGCACACCCGCACAAGGAGAGAGTTCCCCTTAGGTTGTGAAATGACCTGGCAGGGCGTGCGCCTTGGAGATTTCCAGCGGCCCTTGGTCTTCATGCTGCACCTTAGTGTTCCCTCGGACAGCCTGCGCCGCATGGCAGAGGGCTGACGGGCTGAGGTGCCGTTGGCCGAAGAGATGCTGCAGCCAGGCATTTTTTCTGAGGAAGGCGTCCAGGCAGCCTGGGGAGATCTGCTGCCTGGGCTTGCTTTCACTGCCAAAGGGATAAAGGCGTCTTTCTGCTGCTTTTGTCTTTCTAGGGGGTTTGGAGCTGTTTATAAAGCCCTTGACACCAGCAGCGGACAACAGGTAAAGTGCCAACAGCCCCATGCCATTTTGCAGCTCTGGAGCGCTTTGCCCGCTGCTGTGAGCTCTGCTTGGAGGTTTGGGTGGCAGCTCCATGTCTGCAGCAGAGGCTGTTCCTCTGAAATGCAGTCTAGGCTCAGGGGGCAGAATGCATTTGGGCTGGCCTTTGGTGCTTCTGCTAAGCTCTGCTGTCTAGTGACAAGGCGCTTTGGCCCAGCGTGCTGCCTCATTGCACCAGCACTCGCTCCGTGCTCCTTGTGATCTCGAGCAGGGTGCGTCTTCTCAAGGTACCGGTGGCCAATGTCATTGCAGGTGGCAATCAAGATCATGTCACTCGAGGAGGAGATGTCCGAGGAGCTGGCTGCCAATGAAATCCTGGCCATGAGGGACAACAGGAGTCCCAATATCGTTACCTACTTAGACAGGTTGGCATATTCTGGTGTCAATGTAGCTTTAGCTGGTGCAAGCGCAAAGAGACGATGCCCTTTGGTCACTGGCAGAGAACAGAGCTGGGGATGATTTCTCTGCTGGTCTCCAGAGCGTGGGAGGAGGTGGAGCTGCTGTTCAATAGTCTCTTGTGGCCCACGTAGCTTGGAGAGCAGCTGCAAAAACCTGGCTCAGGCCCTGGGGTGACTGAGGCTGTGCCCATTCTGTTTCTCCATGCCGTAGTTTTCTTCTTTCAGCTACCTGGTGGATGCGGAGCTCTGGCTGGCCATGGAGTTCATGGACGGCGGCACCTTGTTTGATGTGCTGAGGGCAGTGTACCTGGAGGAAGGACAGATAGGCGCTGTCTGTCGGGAGGTGAGGGATCCCGCTTGTGCTTGCCCAAGCCTGCCCGGATGCTGCTTGCCAGCTGGAGCTTAAGGAGAGCCGAGATTTCTTGCTCTCACCCTTCTTTTGCTGCTGCTGCTGCTGTTGCTGCTCTCATGCCACACAGGAGAAGAAAGAGCATGGGAAGTGTACTGCCTGCCGGTGCCCTCGCACTCCTCAGGCTCTGTTCTTGCACTCTTCCATCCTGTCTGTTGTCTGGCCTTGGTGCTCGCTCACTGGCTCAATTTCTCTTTCTTCCTCTTCTCAGCTTTGCCTGGGAATGTTTGCCTGGAGCCTGTCTGTCTGTCCTACATTGCTTGCCACTGGAAGGCAGCATGCGGGTGGCAGAATTTCAAGCTAAGGGCAAAGAGCTGTCCTCAGCTTCAAAGGATAGCATTGCAGCCTGGATGGCGATGCATTCTGGAACAGCTCGAAGGTGCTGCTGTCACCAGCAGCTTCCTCTTCTGCTGCCACTAGGCTTCCCCAAAATTCTTTACCGTGCCGCCTCCCAGCCAAAGGTGACGCGCTTCCTACCCAAGGCCGGTGGAACTTTTGGGAGCCCAGGTGCCTTTGCTTGGAAATCTAGAAAAAACTTCCAAGAGGGTTGAAGCAGCAAGCTCTTCATGATGACAGCAGCGTGATGTTTCGCCCTGGCTCACAATTCCCTGAGAAAGCCGCCAATCCCGTTGAGCTCTTTCCTTGCGGGTGGGATGAAATCAGATCCTGCACGTTAACTTTCCCTCCCTCCTTCTTCTCTCTCAGTGCCTGCAAGGACTGCATTTCCTTCATTGCCGCCAAGTCATCCACAGAGACATCAAAAGTTGCAACGTCCTTGTGAGCACGGACGGATCCGTCAAGTTGGGTGGGTGTCCCTGCTGGGCTGCAGCATGTCCAGCATATGCCGTGCGCTTGCATTTTGGTGACGGCCACTGGGGCAGAAGCGCGGCTTGGCCAGTGCGTGAATCGTCAGGGTGTTTTTGAAGCGGCCGATGCCTTATTTGCCTGGCTCCAGGCACGTGGAAGGAGAGCTCAGCTGCTTTTTCAGCTAGATTCAGCATGGCCTGGTCAGGCTTGGAGTGGGCAATGGTTTTGGCCGCTTTGCCAGTGGTAGCTGGCTTTGACAGGCTTTGTTTTTGTCCTCAGGTGACTTTGGCCTCTGTGCTCAGCTCAGCCCTGAGCACAGCAAGCGCAGCTCCAGCGTCGGCACTCCCAGCTGGATGGCACCGGAGGTGGTGAGAGGAGAAGCCTACGGCCCCAAAGTGGACATCTGGTCCCTGGGGATCATGGGGCTGGAAATGGTGGAAGGGGAAGCTCCTTACCAGCGGGAAGCCCGTCTCCGGGTAAGGTGCAGCTTAGCAAGAGGGCTCTGTGTGGAGAGAGCTGTGTGTGGCTAGCAAAGGAGCAGGTGGAGTGTCCTCTTGCATCCATGTGCTGTAGGTTTTTGAACTGCTAGAAAGGAACGGGCCCCCAAAACTGCAGAACCCCAGGCACCACTCGGCTCTCCTGCGCGACTTCCTCCGCTGCTGCCTGCAGGCAGATGAGGACAGGCGCTGGTCTGCCCAGGAGCTCCTACAGGTAAGGAAAAGCAAAGGGGCAAAAAGGCCTGGCAGCTGAGGACACCTGCATGAAGGGATGAGGAGGAGGAGTGTGGGCCACGTGGCACAGAAAGCTGCCAGGACAGGAAGGCGCAGGGTGACATGCTGCCCTCGGTGCTCGATGTGTGTCTTGCTGGTAGCCAGGGAATCCTGCTTGAGCCCGCGAGGATGTGATCCTGGAAAGTAAG